GGAATGGGAAAAAAATAAGAACCAAGATGCATTATGTAAAGGTACAATTCCCAATGAGAAATGTAATTGTGTTGTATACCTACAATGTACCAGTAAAATAATTTAATACAAAAAAAAAAAAAAAACGGAGCATGAACTTCCATCATTACTCCTCCATCACCTGGATTCAGCCTGACAAGCACTGGCTCATGCTTCACTGGAGAAACATCCCAAGTGTGTTCAGTTCTAAAATCCACCTGAAGACTGCCCTGCCCGGTTGGGTTTTCGCTGCAGAGGTCCCCAGAGAAGTCCTACTAATCTTTTTAAAAAGATAAGTTTTACATTATTAAATCACATCCAGATAATATAAAAAGGTTAGCAAATCCCAACACTACAATAGACAAGAGAATACACACAAAGAATAAAAACGAATCTAATCTAACTAGTAAGCATTGATAATGAAACTCCTATATAAAGTCTTAGTAGTTATAATATAGCAATATTATATCAGAATTAAATACATGGACTGAGTGCCACGTATATATTAATTACATAAACTAGTTTGTTTGAAAATATTCATTAATGTTATTATCTATGTTGACAAAAGAGAGAAAAACTATATGATTGGATTCTAAAAATAATGTAATAAAATATAAAACTCATTGCTACTTTCCAAAGGAATAGCAAGTATTAGGGGAAACATCTTCTAACTTGCTGTTACAGCTAGCATCATAACCAATGATAAGACATTAATTAATATCAATAAAAGAGATAAGTTGTGAATACTTAACACCTCAGCTATTTTCAACTAGAATTCCTAGTCAATACCATTAAATCCAAAACATGTAGTGAGGTGAGAGATGTGAACTTTTATTATTTAAGATGATGTTACTGTCTGTATAGAATCAAAGATGAACAGCTAGTTGTTAGAACTAATAAAAAATTTAATCTAAAAGTAGAATGGCCAAAAACAACTTGGCTAGAATAAAAATTGATAAGGAAACATAAATGATTTTCCTATACAATACCCCTCACCCATTACAATTAAAAAGCCTTCTTCACCATAGTAGTCTATATTGTAAAATTCCTAGGGATAGACAAAGAAACACATATAACTTACCAAAGACAGCTATTAAACTTTTGTGAAATGCACACAAGCCCTGAGTAAACAAACAAACAAAAAAAGGTCAAGCTCCTGAACAGAAAGATATAATTTCTGCTGTGTTTATAAATTCAACACAATCCCAAAAAAAGGCCGGAAAGCGTTTTCATCAGCTCGGAAATGTTGACCTAAAGTTTATCTAAAAGAAATGTGCAAGAAGAACCAAAAAATTTAAAGGAAGAAGAAAAAGAAAAAATACAGATACTTCTGAGGGTTTTAAACCCTCCTTTTGCACTATTTCCTACTCTACACCCGCCAGGTACCTCTGCAATTTGTGAAGAAATGATCAGTAAGGTCATAGTCTGATTAGGATGGTATCAGTCAGCTTTCTGACTGCTGGGACACAATACCTGGCACCCACATCTTAAAGGAAGAGGAGTTTTATTTGGCTCATGGTTTTAGCAGTTTTGGTCCATGGCCAGTAGCTCCAATGCAGAAGCATCATGGTAGAAGGACTTTAAAGAAGCAATGCTGCTCAGCTCATGGTGGCTAAGAAGCACAGCAGGGGAACAATGCCACAGAGAAAGAGGCCAAGAACCAGAAGGGTACCCAAGGTCATGCCCCTGTGACCCACCCAGACAAACCCAGAGTTATGTTCCACCAATCCCCCGGCAGTTCCCAAGCCAATCAAGTCAACACAATCAAGCTTAACTTTCACAGGAACAAAAATACAGCTTCCTACACTGGTGATAAATCAGACTAGAGAAGATCCACATGGGATTTCTCTTTCTTCCCTGGCTTTCACTTACCCGGAATGGGGGAAGGGTGGCTTGGGGGAGGGGTCTAGCTGGGCCCTGGGGAGCAGGATTCACTGTCAGGGCACTCACCTCTCTGAGGAAGCAGAGACAGATTTTGCAGGTCCCAGAGGCACAACTTTGTTCTCTCCATCAGAGAAATCGTCACTTCTCTCCCAAGAGGAGTCAGTTGGTATGGGGAAAGAGGGGTGGGAAGGACCCACAAAGAAGCATGGCGCTGAGCAATTGGGTTTCTCTAACACAAAGTAAGGTTGTGTATGGATTTTAGTTCTTTTTGCATTTTAGAACATTTACATATACACAATGAAATATTTTGGAGATGGGACCCAAGTCTAAACAACATTCATTTATGTCTTATATGCATCTTATAAACTTAGCCCGAATAATTGTATTTTTAGTTTAAATTTTAGTGGGGCTGCATTTTGACTGTGACCCATCACATGACGGCGGATGTGGGTTTTGCATTTGTGGCATCAAAGGTCAAAAAGGTTTGGATTTTGGAGAATTTTAAATTTTGGATTAGGGATGCTCTACTGAGGAAAATTAAATTTAAACAACTGCACTTATAAGCCATCAAGAGATTACTTACAGTATACAAAAGGAATGTACAGACTATATGCCAATACCATGCCATTCTGCATAAGGAATTTCAGTATCTTCAGATCTTGCTATCTGCTGGGGGTATTAGAACCCATCCCATCCCCCATGAATACCATGGGACAACTTATACATGCATTTTTACATGTATAAGCAGTTACATATATATGTGTATATATATGTGTGTGTGTGTATATATAGCATATATATACTTTATTTATATGTTACATAAATATGTATATATAAACATACATATTTGTTTTAGGAAACACTGGAAGAATAAACAAGAATCTAATTTATATGGTGAAATGTTATGACAAGGGAGAAGGTGGGAGAATAAAGTCAGACCCAAGAAGACTTTCTGGTATATATCTTTTCACATAATTTTAATCTTTTTCTGCATTGTAAATGTGTAATCTAGTTTTTAAAATGTAGAAAAGCCAAATTCAAAAAAGCACTAGAGGAAATAAAGGAACATATTTATAACCTTAGAGCAAGAAAGACTTTCCTAGAAAAAGACAAAACAAGTGCAGAAGTTGTAAAAGGGAAAAATATATTGTTATCATCAATTTTAAAAATCATGACTTTCACACAAGGGCAGTTAAAAGAAGAGGTAATAATGGACACAAGTATATACAACATATTTCAAAGAAATAGGACTAATAGCACACATATATAAAGAATTCCTATTTGTAAATAATGGGGAAGCAAGTCACAAAGATTTTCGTCAGGGACCCTTCCTGGAAGGAGTGGGTAAGATCTTGGTCCCCCACCCAGGTGATTGATACCTCTTTAGAGTATCAATCTCTGCTATTCTTCCTTAGGAGAAGCACGTGGGTGTGGTAGTTTCTCCTCTTTTACAATGCTGGCCTTCAGTGAATGTGTCCATTGACTATGTTGGCTCCTCCTACAGCCCTGCCCGATCTAACTCCCTAGAGATATCTAATTAACTTACCTATCCACAGTAGTTCCTCACCCCTCATGTTGATATCCTCCAGTCTTGCTGCTACTGATCTAATCTCTGGGAGCATCCAGTTTGCCTTCCATTTATAAATACTTGAAAACAAACCAGCTTGCTTTATCTTTTCCCGTGAATGTAATCATTTAGTTTTTTTTTCAAAAATTGTGACGTTCACCAAAAGAAATTTTTTTAATGATAGAATTACCTCTTATGTCTACAAATAGATTTTATTGTCATGAAATGTCATGTGGATGTAAATGAAGGGAGAAAGTGTGACCACTTTTATAAATGAGCACAGCATGTTAAGAAAGCATCACTGTGCCAATGAACATGTGCAAAAACCTTGAATTGGATTCTGTTAAGTAATGTAGCTGTTTAAATTATATGGCAAAAAGATCAACTTCTTTGGTATTAAAAACACAATAAAACATTTTCATCTACTATATTAGCAAAGTTTTTAAGATAGTAAATACCAGATATAGTGACAGAGCCAACACTCGGTCGTTAGGAATGGAACAGAGGGCAGAAAATAATTCAGTGATATCCCACAATGTCGGCATAACCTGCAGCCAGTGATTCCTCTTCCTGGTCTAGTTGAAGAAAAATACAGTACTTTTTAAATCAATTACACATATCCTGGTATGTCATTTGTTATCTCTGGGTATTTTTCTTTCCCTTACACTGCCTAAGTGTAATCAGCATTAATAATCAACATCGATAATCACATAAGTTGGCTTCATGATGGAAGGAAGTCATCTTTATTTGAAGGAAGGAAAGAAGGGAGGGAGGGAAGAAGGGAAAGAAAGAAGAGGGAAGGAGGAGGAAGAATGTGAGAGCATGGACCATACTATCAGACAGACCTAAGTTCAAAGCCATCTTACTATGAAGCCCTAAACAAATGGCTTCATCATTTGGGCCTGGGCCTCTCTCACTGAGCGGCTGCGAAAATGAAGTGGACGAATGCCAAGTGCTTGGCTTGTGGTAGCAGCCAAGTCTGGTCTTGTCCTTCCTTGGCCCGACCACACCGCTTCAGTCTCTGAGGACCTGCCTCCTGCCTCCTGCCTCCCTTCTTCCCACCCACATTGTCTTTGCACTCTCTCTGTCACACACACACACACACACACACACAGAGCACTCCCTGGAGCAACTCTGATGTATAAGTATAGGATAGATTTTAAAATGTGCTAAAACTTTTATCACATGATGCAAACCTAGAAAATAGGAGTGTCCGAGAGATACAACTTAGAGGACTTAAGTAGCTGGTATAAAATCACAGAGCTGGCAACTTCAAGAAACAAGGTGCAGATCCAATGCTAAGTTGATACCAAGCCCAGAACTCTTAAGGGAACGGGATGAGGCAGTCTGAACACTTGTGTGCATGCCAGACTCCTACACTCGGGATATTGGGCAGCTTCCCTAACCTCTCTGAACTTTGCAGCTGCCTAAAGGTCTCAAACAAAATAATGACTATTTTATAAAATGTAACATACTGTGCATGTATCTCCCCTCCTCTGGCTATTTACATTCAAACCTTCTGTCTTTCCATAAACTCAGTTTTCCTAATATCACACTTGTTCTCTCTCTGTTCTTTTCCACCTGCTATCCCTAAAAATTTCTTCCACTTATTTTCCGTACTTCCTTATTTTGGTCATCTTCTCAACTTTCTAGATCTGGTATCTTAAGCTATTCTTCTCTCCTCAGCCATTGACCCTATGGGTTCCTTTTGCTCTTGTTGGGCCTGTCTTCTCTCCCGTCCTTCTCATCCTAAGGTACAGCTGTAGACTAGTCCTCGTCCCTCAGGCCTGTGCTTCGGGACAGCCACCTCCTCTAACTCACCAACTGCATTCTGTCCTGGGATGCCACAGTGTTTTCCTGTCAGTGTTGATCGACTTACTCTACAAAGACGATTAACCTTTCCGGTATTTCTTAACTTAAATACCCATATTCTTTGTAATGTTTTCTAGTAGACATTATTTGAAAAATGGACTTTTAAATGTGCAGTACAAGGGAACTGAACCCAGAACCTTCCCAATGCGCTACTGCCCCAGCCCATATCTTTGTTGTTTGAGACAAGGCCTTGCTAAGTTAGAAAATTAATATTTTGTTTAATTTATTTGACTCCTCATTGGAAACCTGCAACTACCAATTATATATTGAGTTATTGAAATAATGCTAAATGATCAATAGCGACGTCTTTCCTCAGAAAAATATTACATTATATGTGTTGCCATTCAACAGTTTTCTAGCATTTTGTGAGAAACTATCTATCTGGGTACTGTTATTGGCAGGTAAAACTTTTGTTTTTAACAAGTTAAGGACGTTTTGCTGTATGGTATGTCCAGAGCACAACCAAAAGAATACTGCCGTGTCCAGGCTCTGTAAGGAGGCTTCATCTGTGTTGGTTGAATTCAGCACAGACGGTAACTAGGGGCTGAGCTGGCATCGCATGTCCTGCCAGGGAGAATGGAAGAGTGGAGAGTGCCTACTTCACTGCACAGACTGCTGTAGTCCGTATCTGGGAGGGGAAGATGGTTGGCATCTGGAGGAGGCAGAATGAAGATAAGATGGGATGAGTGAAAACACGGAAGCTGGAGAGGACTGAGAACCAACAGAAGGGACCGACTGAGCCCAGGAAACAGTGAAGTTCCTGCGCCCTGACCCTGGCCTGCACGCAGTGCAGCACAGCAGGTGGCTGGCACCCAAACCCACCTGCAGACTGAATATCCCTCACCCTGAGTACCTGGGACCAGAAGCACCTTCTGCATCTCTTAGCTGGCATTCTGCCACAAGCAAGTAGGTTGCAGCCTTTCCTTGTTTTGGAGTAAGCATGTGTTACCCAAGATTTGGTCAGTGAGCACCTCCTCCAGCTGGCTTCTTATGCCTTTGTGCTTAGTCTTTATTTATACAGGTTGAGCATCCCTTATCTGAAATGCTTGAGAGTAGATATGTTTAAGATTTCAGGGTGTTTTCAGATTTTGGAACATTTATGTATACAAAATGAGCTACCCTGGGAATGGGGCCCAAGTCCAAACACAAAATTCATTTATGTTTCATAGACACCTCATACACGTAGCCCGAAGTCATTTTAGTTTAATTTAATTTAATTAATTTCAGTGCCTGTGTCTTGACGGCAGCTGATGCCCCGGGGTCAGGTGTGGTGTTCTACAACTGTGGCATCGCGCTGGCCCTCACACGGACACCTTGGAGCATTTATGAGTTAAGATCTTCAGGCTAGAGATGCTCGACCTGTACTAGAATTCTTTGAATACCAGGCCAAGACGTTTTCCCTTGATTTAGTTTCAAAAACTGGGAGGTTTTGAAAATTTTTGTGCAGTTAAGAAATATAATTGGGTCTCTGCTACAGGAAGATTAATCTGGGAACAAAATGCAGAATGAGCTGAATCAAGAAGGGAGAGGAGGACATTATTAGAAAAATAATGATGACAAGAACACCAGCAGACACACAGGATTTGCTTTGTGTTAGGCACAATTCTAAGTATGTATGTTAATCTATTTGATTTTTTCCTAATGGCTTTCTCAGGCACTATTGTGAGCTCGGTTGAATAGTAAACTGAAGTACACAGAAGTTAAATAAGTTGTCCAGCATTCACAGCTAGTAAATGGCCAAGCCCGGGTGTTAACTTACCCAGGTGACCCAACTAAAACTTCTACTTCATCCAGGAGACACAGACTGAAACACAGCTGTAGACGTGGGCAGCCTGGTAGGGGACTCTGACCCCTTCGCATTCCATCCCATCTTCACATCTAAGAGAGCAGACATGGCAACATTTTAAAGAATATTCGAGATCCAAAGAAAATACATTCCAGATCAGTGGACTGGCTCTGGCTTCTTTCAAGGATGAGATAAATAAAACTTGTGAAAAGATGCCAAAGAAAAACAGAATGCAGAAAGTTCCTTAAACAAAAGAAAAAGCACACCTGTGAAAAAAAAAATCCCTGGGAAATATGTACAGTCTTTTGAACAAAACAGAGTAGGCATAAATTTTCACAGCCCACAATAAACTCAATATAGGAGAAATATAACTTTCTTTACCTTTCTATAACTTTATTATTTTCTAGCACCCACATTCTGAATAAATTACTAAAATAAATTTTTAAGATCTATAAATAACAAGTCAATAGTTGAAGGAAAAAATGGAATGATAAAATTTTTCTACATGAAATCCATTTTATATATAAAGAACCAAATAGATTAAAACCCTAAAAGGATGGAAATGTATATACCATGCATATATCACATAAATGCTAATCAAAGGAAACTCAGAATGGTCAGAAAGTTAGAGCCAGAATATTACAAGCATACTGAGGATCATGACATAATGATAAAGTGGCCTATTCACCAAGAAGACATAACAATCCTAAAGAGTATACACCGAACAATAGATATTCAAAATACAGGAAACAAAAACTAATGAAACTGAGTGGAGATTTAAATAAATCCGTAGTTATGTTTGGAAACTTCAACACTTTGTCCTCAGCAATTAACAAAACAGGTAGACACAGAATCAGTAAGGATACAGAAGAGTTAGATACCAACAGCCAACGTAACCTGACATTTTTAGACCTCTCAACCCAATACTAGTGGAATATACATTCTTTCCAACTGCACATGAAACAGTCACCAAGATAGATCATAGTGTTGGCCACAGAACATCAACAAATTAAATAGAATTGGGAACATACCAAGTATTAAAAGAAGAAACATCCCCAGATATTTTTAAATTAAACACACTGCTAAATAACCCATAAATCAAAGAAAAGATTACAATAAAAATTTCAAAATCATTTTGAATAGAACGAAAATAAAAACATGGCATGTCAAAACTAACACAGCTAAAGTAGTGCTTAAGAAAATTTATAGCATTGAACACTTGTGATTGTTATAAATTGGGTGATTAAATTATGTTAACTGAGTTGATTGGTAGTGATGCTTTTTATTTCAGGTCTTCCGGGATAGAAAGCAGTTCTCTTTCTTCCCTCATTATTTGTTACTTGCTCTTTATTCTGAGAAGACAAAGACAAAAAAGCCACTGAACAACAAGGTCTACTCTGGCTTCAGCAGATGGCCAACTGCACCTGTTCTCAAGTCCAGTGCCTTTGGAAAACCCTCTTCCTATGTCTCAAGTCAACCTAGCAGCTTCCCAGGACCCTTCCTATACTGTCCCCAGGTCCAGGTTTACCACGGCTTAGACTGTCCCCAGCAGTGACACACAAGGACAAGCTTTCGCCTTCCACATACGAAAACCGTAATTATTTGCCACAAGTGGCCTTCTCTTCCTGTTTCTGCCCAGCCTAAGTTTCATTTAAGTTACCAGGTTATGAAATCAAACCTAATTGCTAGCAAAATCAGTGACTTGCAGAAGAACTTCACATGGTAAGCGAAATAGAGACAAGGATGAACTCAAAAGGGGACGAGAACAGAAAAGACTCTGCAAAGTTGAGAGAGGCAGACGGGTCAGGGAGAACCACAGTGCTGCAATTTCCAGTCGTCTGAATTGACTCGCCGGGGTCGCCTCCTGAGGTTATCTAAGGAAATCCTTCTGAGTTTAAAGTGTGAAAATATATTATGTTTCCTTTGCGGACAGGGATTGAAATAGAGGGGGGGGGGCGGGGGGTGAGTTACCAACAGGAAGCTCTGGGATTTGAAAAGCCCATCAATAGAACCCAGGTTTATAAGGTTTGTAAAACAGATACTATCAGTGGGAAGGTTTTGCTCTCTAACAGTTTCTATCTCATTAAACCCGTCCCTGAAATACTCTGGCAAGTCTCGATCTAGACCAGGTATGCGTGAAGGAAGTTTCCCTGTGATAAGGAAGGAGGGAGGTTGCATGCATAACAGACTTCTGATCTAAACTGGTTTTTCTGAATTAAACAAAGGAAGCAGATTCTTCAATGAAGATAAAGCCTCTAATTAGCCTGTGAGTGAATCGGATGCCATGCACATAATCACTGCTTGGGGGAAATAATCAGACCCCAGGACCACCCACAGTTTTTTTTCTGCCTGGGTGACTTGTCTATGCAGTAAATAATTAGCTTCTTGATTTGTAAAGAGGATGACATTTGAGAAAGTTCTGCAAATAGTATTTCCCTCTCCTTTCCCATGGACCCATGTAATTCCACCATTCATTCAGTTGCTCCCAGACTGCCTGGGTGATTTTCTGATGGTATATATAGAACTCTGTGGGATGACCTGCTCTATTTTTATGTCCTGTAAGTACAGAAACCTTCCCGGTTCACGGGCAGGTGACTTCCAGCGCTGCGAGGGGGGCACGCTCCCCAGAGCCATCCTGAACTTGGCCTGCTGTCCACAGCGCATCCTTCCTGAGTTAGAGTCCAGCACACAAGCCACACTTTAGATAGGAGAGAAGGAAGGGGAGAAAAGGTTTTCAGCTGTCTTTGGGTCCCCGGCTGAGTCTGAAAATAAAACTGACCAGGGCAGACTAACAGGAGAAAGGGATATAAGCCAACTTTGTGTTTCTCATGACAGAGGGCCTTCATGAAGAAATGAGTAGCCCTGTGTATTTTTATGCCACATTTGATGGAGAGGCAGGGAACTGTGGAGCCCGAGGGTGTGATCTGATGTGAGTACTCAGGGGTAATAAAGCTCCTGGCCTCTGAATAGAGGGAACACTTGGCTAAGAGAGTCTGAAGTGCGGGCGGAGGTCAGGAAGACCTTCCTGCTTCCACAGTCTTCTGTATTTCCTTAGCTTAAAATATGCAGTGTACCAAGATGGTGTAGGCTGGTCAGTGTGCCCTGAGCCCCCTGCAGAACAAATGTAAATTTTAAGTAATAGAAGGACTGGGTGGGGTGCAGCTCAGGGGCATAGCACTTGCCTGGCATACGCAAGGCCCACAGAGAGAAAGAAAGAAATTATTAAACAAAGTTTGAAAAATAATCAATTTTACAGTAAGAAAAGTCCTTAGAATAAATTATTTTTAAAACACCACAGGATTCCAATTCAAATCATGAATGCTGTGATTCGAAGGAGGTAGATGATAGATACATCCACACATGCATACATATCGGTAGAAATAAAAATTTATACCTACACATGTATAAATGCATAAGAAAAAAACAATGTGTGGGCCAGGCATTTAGCTCAGTGGTTCTGCCGCCTGCCTCGAAAGTACAAGGTCCTGAGTTCGATCCCTGGTACCAAAAAGAAAAAAGAAAAACCAATGTGCAACAAGATGTGTTCTTCATTTGTTTTTTTGTTTTTGTTTTTGAGACAAAACAGCTCAGGCTGGCCTTGAACTCACAGTGATCCTCCTGCCTCAACCTCCCAAGTGCTGGGATTACAGATGTGCACCACCACACTAGGTCTGTGTTCTTCATTTGACTAAGAGCAATTTTTGTTTTCTTGTTGATATTTTCCACAAGGAATGTGCACTTATTTTCATAACCAAGCAAGAGGCATATCGTTTTTCTAGAGAGAGAAAGAAGATCTTCTAGCAGAGATGCTTTGTCCATAAAGTAATCAGAAGAAAGTAAAACACTTTGAAACAAAATCCTTTCGTCAGAAATCAAAACAGTAGCATTTATAAGGTGATCAAATCCCCGTGAGTATGTAAATTCTTACTCATCAGACAGCTATTCCAAGCATCTCCCTGTGCAGCTTCTTACTCCACTCCCACCAGTCACAGGGCTTTATCTCTGTAGTAGACACTCATCAGGGATTCTGACTTTGAGTTTAAAATCTTTGGGACTCTTGATCTGAAGCCTCCGAGGCAGAGGGGAGACCCAGACCACTGCAGTGCCATGAGTGAAATGAAAATGTGCAAGTGTTGTGCCCCTTGCTCAGAAATTACTAAGAAGTCATGGGGGGCTACAGAGAGGGCTGAGCCCAGTGGGCTGTCCTGCTGCAGGGCTGTGATGCTTGCAAGCTTATGAGACTGCGGAGCCCAGAGCCGGACACATCTCACCTGGACTCTTGCGCTGACACCAGTGGCCTGGCTTTTAAAACTTGACCTACCCAAGACTCAGTCTCCCCATCTACAAAAATGGGAGCTTGCTGTAAAGAGTCTCTCACAAGCTGATTAAATATGGTGCCTGGCACACAGCTCAAAATAAACGATGGCCTGTTGTCCTTCCTTGAACACATACTTCCTCATCACCCTAATCGACAGGAAACAAGAAAAACAACTGTCATGAAAAGTTCTGCCCATTTCTTTAATTTATATTTTACTTTAAATAATTCCACTCATCATTAATAAGAATGCATTAAGAGCCATGATGTGGTACAGTGAAATAGGATTTAAAATTAAATCCTGAATCCCCAAAAGCAAATTTGATAGAGGACATGCACTACAATATGTCTATTTTTAGGTCTCTTTTTAGAGTTTACAGTCCATTTTCCCTCATCTCATATTACTGGTAAATAGGAACATAGCTCTTTTACTAGGTACTATAAAGTATTTTCAATAAAATCAAATTTGAAATTTTCTTTAAAATCAGAAATTATCTGAGAAAGGAGAAAGACATGGCTCCTAGGAAGTTTCCGTCTTGTTTCTGAACATTCAATGGGCAAACAACGCCGTGAACACACACGGTGATGCCCCTCGCTGAGCATGGCAGACACTGGCTGTTAGCGGTCAGTGGGTCGGTCTGCTGTATTCACTGTTTGTCAGAGTACGTGAGACTCACTGGAGGGAGACTTTCAGGAACAGATCCCTGGCTCCACTTGTAGATTTACTGGGTCAGACACTCTGAGACCCAGAAATGCCATGTTCACCAGCCAGCAGTTCTGGCCCACATTCAAGTCGGACAGCCACAGCCGTGGCATCTTCCACAGGTGGAAAGGGGTGAAGGCTGCAGGGCTCAGGAAGACCCCACAGGTGTCAGCAACGGGAGCTGTCTTTCGCTCTGCTGGTCGGGGCAGATCTGTTTCTATATTACAGGATTTCCCCCTAACCCAAGGCCCATCCTGGATGTAGAGAAAATGAAACTAGACATGACCACGAGGCTGCTAGCCTGGGAATACCTCCACACTCGCACTGATTTCTCTGGGCTGTTTGCGGGCAGAGAGGGCTGGAAACCAGCCTGTGCCCACGTATGCCCCTCCCACGTCCTGTTTGCTTTGAAGTCGGCTAAGTAGATGCTGTAATCATCCACCCTCAGCGTGGACGGGACTTGAGCCGCTCCCTGCGTGCTCACCTCCTGCTCATTAAACGACATCCCTTTAACGAGGCTTTGTGAACAAGAATACCTGTTTGTGAAACAGTCAAAGTCTAGGAACGTAATTTGCGGCCATAAAACTGAAGACTGCTGTCCAGTCCTCCTGGGGACTGAACCTGTATTCTCTTACTCTGTTGTCCCAGGGCAACAAGCCTCAATTTGCCAAACTGTGACTGAAAATCCATCGGGTTTCCAGTGTAGGTGGATTCATGTGCACACCCGTCTTCCCAGACTCCCAGGAAACACTGAGGACCAGGGCTCCAGATTGTAAACATATTTCAGGTGTATTCCACCACCAGTGTTTTGTAACAGGGCGGCACTAGCATGAATATCTGTGTTTATAGAACTTCTTTGCACTGTATACCTATTTTTATCTGAAATATAGAGACTTGGAGGATTTAATTGAATCTGGTGTGCACAAGTCTAGTGCCTAACTTTGTCTTTGCTCTTTCAGCTGCCCCCACTGTACATAAGCCACTGTGGGGGGCTATGGAAATACCAGTCCCAGGCCCCTCCTGAATCTCCCACTGTGCTTTGCTGCCACTCGGCTTACACTTGACCACGTATTCCGATCTCTGTTTAAATATAAATCTGTGTCGCTCTCGAAAGCTCAAAAATTTCCCTCTAATGCTGCCCCTGCCAACCTCAGCTATTGATGGTAGGGCTTTACTCTCAGCATTTCAGTCTGAAGGTTAGTTGTTATACAGAATAGCCTTTCCTGAAGGACATGTACAAGGGCTGTAAAAGGATTCAACCCCATTATAACTCTGCCAAATCTAAAGCTTTGATAATTTACCTCCCTGAAAAGGGGTGCAATTTTCTTCAAAGTATGAAAACTAAAAGGTTACTCAGGGACATAATCTGTTTTTTCACTGATTAGAGAAACTCCTAACCTTGAAAGCTCACAACACTTACCACAGCACTGACTGTTGGCCTCCCTGTCCAGGCCGGATTCCGTGGTGACACAAGAGGCCTGGTCATTTGCATCCCGTTTAAGTCTTTGGTAGGTAAATGTGACACTTGCTGGGGTTCAGAAATCTTGCGTACCAAATGCTTCCCTTTGTCCAAACCTCCAGGACTTTTAAAGATGATCCTGTAGCTACTTTAAATCTGCACAGAGCCTGGGGATCTGTATACTTCTAAATGGATTAGTTTTCCTAGTGTCATTTTTAAGATTTAGAAAGTTAAATATCAGTGAGAATATTGATTTCCCACATAGCTATTCTCTACCTAGAGTTGAATACATTTACATTAATGGTAACAAAAAAAAATCACTGGATATTTAACCTCTTTATTTAATCCTTTTGCTTAATATGTTATTTATGCATGTGACAATAAATACTAAAAGGAAAAATATGACACTAATGCCTACCCTTTGGGTAGCATAGAAGGAAGGAAGTCCATTCATAAATTAATTCAAGTGACATTTATGGACCCCTGCTCTGACCAGAACCCAGCCCTGCCCTTGAGGAGAAAACAACATTGGGAAAAAGAAGCCCTTACTAGATAAAGACAGAGTGATAAGCAGTCTGAGGAAAGAAAAAGCAGTTGTAGAAGAGAAAAATGGAAGAACAGTTTAATAGGTAAACAGTAAGGTGAAAGCATGCAAATCAGAGCAGAGGCTTCAGGCATGATGTCTCCACTTACGGGATGCAAACTCTTTGTTTTCCAAAAATCATGCTTTTGCTTTAGGGCTTTCTCTTTTGTTTTCCTCTGTTGTCTTGTACTAATTCCTCACTTCTCATCCATTCCATACATGAAATATAGCTTGAGGAGTTACAAAGGATGATTTCGGTTTTGAATTCCTTGGCAAATGAAGATTCTCTTGTAGCTCTGTTCATTGTCAGTTCTAGCAAGTTTATCCCAGATCCAATCAAATGTACCAACTATAATGAGCTGTTTCCATTATGCACACAGTTCTTTTTAAATAAAATATATGGTATATTTCCAAGGAGATAAGAAAAAACAGCATATGTGGGGGAAGCTACACTGAGCTGAAAACAAAGTGAAATTTCAACTCTTTCTCCTGAGGTTCCAAACCATATTGCTTGACCCAGATGAGCTGTATACTTATTTTTTTAGGGAAAACCTGAAATGAAGAAGGGGGGTGGGTAAGATGAGCAGGAGAAAAGAAAATTATCAGAAAACAAGAGTGCTAGAAATACAATAGCCAGAGGGAAGAGGGGAATGGAGCTGGAGAGGCAGAGCCAAAGACGTGGAATGAATGGAATTGAGAGCTCACTGTGTGGGAAAGAACCCAAGTGCTGTGGAGGGCTCAGGACCCCGTGCCATTATTGACAGGCCCCCAAGTTGGACCCCCACCCAAGCAGACCCGCTACGGCATCCACAGGAGCAGAGATAACAAGCCAGCAGCCACCCTGGGGCTCTCACCACCGCCCTGTGTATCAGCCAGCCCAAGGCCCATCACCCAGGGGACTCTAAAATTTTCGACCCTCATCCAGTGCCCCTTTCCTACCTAAACTCCCCTATAACAACCGCACACACCCAGGCCTTCTCACCCTCAGCCCGTCTGCACCCAGATGGCAATAAACTCATTGCATGTTGCTTAGACTTTGCCTGCCTCGGTGGTCTCAATCTCGGTCTGATTTTACGATTATTAGATTTAGAACCACAGATTCTGATTAAGAACTCAAGAGTCTTTAGATTCTTTCTTAAATAATCAGTGCAGGTCTTGTAAAGCATTAGAAACTGATGCTGCATCTAAATACAGATGAACCAAAAACAACTCTACAATGAAAAGCAGCCCTTGACTTGTTGCTGTCTGGAAGAAATCAGGAAGTAAAATCTATTGCTACTATTTTTTTTTTTTTTTTGTACCAGGGATCGCACTCAGGTTCTTGTGCTTGCCAGCAGGCAATGAAAACACTAAGCTAAATCCCCGGCCCCTATTGCTGCTATTATTAATGCTCATGTTCTAGATAACTGAATAGCATTCTCTGCCTGGTTTTGTTTTCCTGCCTAATGAGGCCACACAAAACAAGCTGTCTCTGGTTTTGTTCAGCAAGGTCATTGTCACTCGTTATTTACTATCCATATTTTACAAACAATATAGCTGGGACTTATAGAGTCAAATTAATTGCCCCCACCTCACTTTCCTCACGTAAACATAGCCATAGGGAAGGGTGTGCACCTTCCAATGGGCGACAGTTACCCAAATCTCTAGTTTTTAGAGAGTCCATTCATGTTGTATTCTGATTTAGTAATTTTCATTTTGCAAAAAGTGTTTTTATTTCTTAGTTATTTCTTTTAACACAGTAAAGAAACACTGGACACACACACACACACACACACACACACACACACACCCCGTAGCTCAGAATGCTAGAACGAGCAATCACTATCAAAATTGTTACTCACTAGCACCAGATGATTTGGAAACAAGAAATTATAACTGAGGAAACTATTGTCTCTGTTTTGTTTTTTTTTAATGTAATGACGCTGAGAAAGCTCTTTAAGGTAAAGTGGCTGCCCCCACAAACTAAACAAGAGGAAAATTCTCCTGGATAAATTTTGGCGATTCTCAAGTGGAAAAGCTTTGAGTCATTTCACTTCAAAATTAATGAGGCTAAATCTTTGACTTTCAAAAGGTTAGATTAATAAAAAAACAAAAGAAGGAGGAGGAGGAGAAGAGGAGGAAGAAGAAGAGGAAGAGCAAGAGGAGGAGGAACCGAAAAATACAGCCGTGTGTGTTGAACATGCCTGTAATCCAAGCCCTCTGGGAGGCTCAGGCAGGAGGGTCACTAGTTGGAGCCTGGATAAATTAGTGACTTAGCAGCTTTGTCTCAAAAGATAAAAAGGGCCTGGGATATAGCTCAGTGTGAAAGCTTTGGGTTCAATCCCTAGTACCCAGGTGGGAGTGGGAATGCAGAAAGATGTTCTGAGAAGGAAAACAAAACCTCTCCAGGAGAAATGAAGGTGGAATCATCCGATTTGTACTATGCGGGTTAGGGGTGGTAACTCATTTATTCAATGTCTTAGTTACTCTTCTCTTGCTGAGACAAAATACCCGACACCCAAGGTTCAAGGAGGAAAGGTTTACTTAGCTCACAGTTTAGAGAGGTTTCAGTCCGTAATCCACTGGCTCCAAGGCAGGGTGGCACATGGCAGAGGGGCATCAGTTCATGGAGGGTAGAGGGTAGCAAAGCAACAAGAGATCTTAACAGTGTCTTCCTGCCCCTTTTATCCCATCCAGAATGCCAGGATGAGGAGGGTGCCAAACCAATCAGTGGACGGGTTAGTAGCCACAGGCCCTTAATCCCAGCATCACCCACTCTCGATTCAGCCAGCTCTGGAAAAGCCACCCAGGACCACATGAGGCTTTGGGGGGGCATCTAGACCCAAGCCCTAACACTAGAGAACACTTTCCAAGTGCCAACCATCTACCACACAGATACTCACACTGCAGTGAAGCCTGGATTGAGGTTCACAGTCCGAGAAAGGAGAACAAGACTGAGAATTCAAAAGGTCCTTAAACACCCAAGCAGGCTTTCAGGAAACTGCATGTTAGAAACCGATGATATTGGTTACACTTGATAATAAATTGCCTGTGGTTTGACATGTGGTTTTTAAGTGTTTTCTTACAACTCTTTGGGCCTGGTGAAAACTTTTCAATTTAGCATGATAACGTAAGTGGCTCAACTATGTTTCAATCCGTATACTCACTGAAACTTCTGACAAGTGATGTTTCTTCCAAAATTAAGACTGATACTACAATGACTTTCTGGAGATCATGCTGAAATTATAAATAACTGACAATACTGAGACTTAGGACTAGACTGAGATAATAGATTTTCCCCTTCCTTCTAAATAGAGCAGGCAGGCTTATTTGTGAAAACTTGAGAGACTTGCTGTACCCTACAGGCCCTGAGACAATACATAATCAAGACTGTACATAGATAAAGTAGGAGAAGTACAAAGAACCTTAGAAGTAATCTCTCCACCCAGTCTTCCCGGCCTGAAATGTCCTGACACACCAAGAG